CAGTCTCTACTTCTTAAGCTATTCCCTGAAATATTAAAGATAATGAAGTGAGTACAACTACTCAGTAACTAAAATCCGACTAGCCCATATTAATGCATAACAATTAATTTAAATGTAAATGGTAGTAAATATTATTACTTTAACCCATGAGAAACATTTGAAATAAGAATTCACAACTTAGCTCATATAATGGCATTTACTTGGAAAAACAATGCTTTTAGCATCTTTCATATACATAAAATGGCTCATACAATTTATTGACAAGCCTAATGGCAAAAATTATTACTTAACTCAATGTATCCACATTATGAACTCAATATAGACAATAAGTGCATTTTCTTACTATATGTATGATCACACCTCCCTTATATCCTCCTTATTTCTCTGATAGGAAACCATGGGCTATAACTTAATAAGATAGTCTATGTTTCTTGACTTCCCTAGCTTAAACACTTGTGAGGGAATTACCCGGCCAAGGTGTACTCATCTCACTTATAGATCACAATTTTTCCTATTTCTCTCACTATAGGGTGTCATACACCTTGGACTAACTTCCTCATTACACCAGTGGATAGTTAGTTAGGTTCAAGTCTCTCGTTGAACCAAAAGGGACAATTCCTCATTAAACAAGTGAGACGATATGGATTGAATCAATCTAAGCAATCCATCACATAGATGGGGCCTTACCATATGGATTTATCATTTACTCCGCTTTTTAGGCGAACTCCCGCCTCTCTAGATCATGCAATAGACATTCATGCAATAATTCATCCATATACAATTCACAGATCTTCACCTTATCACCTTTTATTGAACTTTATCATTACACATTACCAAACCAGTCGTTGAACTCTCAATTCACAATCATTATATGTCACACTTTTAAAATGATTGAACTTCCCTATTTTCATTATATCTCACACCTTAAAATCATTGAACTTCTCTATTTTCAAACATCATTGAACTCCTTCTAAATAAAGATTCATTTTTCTTCTTAATTTATAGAAATCATTACACTCCCAATGAACATTAATACGAAAATCCACCACTATTGTTCTCAAGGAAAATTTTGCATCATAAGGTATAAAACTCACAAATTTGATCTAGTAAATTTCTTCACAAATTAAGCCACACTTGCATTTCTTTTATTTTATACATTCCAATGATAACTCATAAATCAATAAACTAATAGTCACACATAAGCATAAGATATAATTCCCCCTGATTACCTTAAACCTTTAAAAGGTCAAAGGTTTCATCCCTCAACTATTCACTCCTGAAGCTTCCAAGAAGCTTGAATGGCGCCAGTGGTAATTACACTACAAGCATTTACCATGCAAAACATCAATATCCATTTTGACCTATTTTTCACTAGCCTTTCATCATTTCTTAATACTCAAGATTTACTCTAAACTCATGTAGAAGTATCCATAAGGTTTCTTAGCTTCCTATAACTCTCATTTATAACATTGAGCTCTTAAATGGACATTAATGAAGCCACATTATTCCCAACCATCAAATTTATGGAAATTTCATACACTTAATGTCCTCTAACCACCAATCATCATAAAACCATAGATATCAAGTTTACCTAGCTCAATCTACCTTCATTAACTCTATTTAAGTCAATGAGTTTGGGCCCATAACTTCTAGAGACCAAAAATCACCATTAGCAATTAAACCCTAACCTCTACTATTAAGAAAATGGAAGAAGAGAGGAAGATTTAAGTAAGAAAGCTTATCTTAGGTGTTTATGAGCTCCAAATTACTCCCAATAATTAGTTTCTTCAAGCCCTAGCTCAGTTTTTTTGCCACTCTCTCGTTCCTTTTTGTTTCCTCTTCTTTTTCATTTCAGATTTATGACTTAATACTACAAAATTCTGGCCATGCGTCGCGGCAGATGCACAATGCACCGCGGGCCATGGCATAGAGAGCTTCTTCCAAGCATGTTGTCACCTATGCACCGTGACAGACCAACCCCACGCTACGACGCGTGGCACAGAATCACTCCCTTTAGAAATTTTTCCTCTTCTATTCTTGGGTGATTTGATTCTCCTTCAGACCCGCGTTTAGTACTAAAATCAAAATCAAACATGCCTGTTAGGCCTCTCTAGCCACATACCTCAAAGATTCATTTTACTAATCTATTTAAGCTTAATTAATTTGGATTTAAAATTAAGAATGTTACACCAGGTGGCCTGCTTTGATACCAGACCCATAACTAGAGCTAAAATTTTATCAAATATGATTATTAAACCTCTCCAACTGCACACCAATTCAACTTACTTAATTTCTCTAATTAGGTTTAATTAATTAGGGGATTAAAAGTCGGGATGTTACAATACACACGTTCACAGCTAAAAAAATTATGAAATAAAACAATACATAACAATTATTATATAAATTTTAAATTGCATAGAGTAAAATATTTTTTTAATAAAATATTTTTTTTAACCAAGGTGGATAGTTCCAGTGAAAGGGCTTGATCTTTCACAATATAATGAACTAAGGTTTAAATCTTTGATAAGAGAGATACTCATATTTAGTACTTGATCATGACTTAAATAAAATTGTCTTTAATAAGAGCCACTCGTAAGCAATAAAAAAAATAAAATGAAATAAATTTGTATTTATATTTCTAATATGCACATGTAAAAAATTCTAAAATTAAACAACTCATTGTTTATATTTTTTTATATATATGGGATAATAAATTTTAAACTACAATAGTTATTTAAAATTTAATTTATGTGACAATAACACATCTTAAAACAGAAAATTATTGTTGATCAAAAAACAACAAATTGTTCTTTATATTTTTAATATACATGGGCAACGAATTTTAAAATAATCAATGTGGGAATAGAATAATTTGTTGTTTATTGAATCAAATAATTTTTTTTTGTTTTTTATTACTTTAATAAGTATTCTCCTATTGAAAGCAACCACGTTCAAAGTATAATCAACTACTAAATATTGACATACTTTCCAGTAAGTATTTGAAGTTTGATTTACCATGTTGGAAGAAACTAATTCCTTCTACTATACTCATTTCTCATTGGTTAAATAAATTGTTGTTTTATGTTTGAGCATAGATAATAACAATTTATACAATTAGGCAAGTTATGGTTTATTTTTATCTTCTAAACATTAAATACATGCCCAAAAAATAAAAATATACAATTATTTATATTTTGATTGTCATAGTTATTAAGGACAAAAATAGAGTTGTTATACCTTCATAGTTATAATGATTTATTTTTAATTTGTTATAAATTTTTATTTTTTTGTTCTCTCCAGATACTACACTAGATTTTGGGAGAATGACATAAAAAGTCTTAAAATAATGAATTTATGACAATTAAATTCTTCATAATTTTTTTTGTAAAATCAATAGTGAACATTGATTCAAATAGTTGTAAATTCAAAAATTTTAATTACAAATAAAATATTTTAATTTTAAATATAATTCTCTGTTTGCAATCGAGATTTTCAATTGCAATTGTTTAAATCAATATTTATAACTTATTTTTTTTTTAAATTTTTGAAGATCTAATTATCATAAATTTTCTATTTTAACACTTTACCGTCATTCCCTCATCGCTAAATTACTATCAGATTTCTTTTCATTTATTTGTGAGTTAAATTATCCTTTTACCTCTATGTTATTTATTTATGAACATTTGATATTCTAAACTTGCATTTGATATAATTTTTCTTTTCAACATTTGACAATAGTGCATTAATCACTATGCAGTTAAAAAATTAACTTTGAGATTAAGTTAATTTAAAAATTATAAAACATGACCCAAAAATTTATATACAAATATCCTATAAAAGAATTAATGCCAACTAAAAAATTAAAGTATAATTTTGACCAACCACTTTAACAAATTTCGAGATAAGTAACAAATAAAAGTTGATGGTAACAACATCAATAAATAATTAAAAAATTATATTTATTTTAATAACATCTTATTAAAATATTAACAATTTATATAGAAGAAATATAATTTTTAGTCCTTATATTTTGCTCGTATTTTGCTATAGGTTCTTGTCTTTTTTTTAATATTTTGGATCCCTACACTTTCATTTTTTAGTGTTTTAGGTTTCTAAATGAACAAAGTATAGGGATCTAAAATATCAAAAAATAAAAGTATAGGAATCCATAATACTGAAAAGAAAGTATAGAGACTTATATCAAAACATGAGTAAAGGGTAGAGACTAAAAGTTATGTTTTTTCATTTATATATTACTCCATCTGTTAAAAAATGTAAGACATTTTTTAAAAAATTGGATGTTCAAAAATATAAGATATTTTAAATCTTTCAAGATATAATCATTATCTTTTTTTAAAAGTACCCCTATTGATATTGACTTTATATTTATTGTAGGGTGTTTAATAGAGATAAATATAAAAATATATGGTTAATTTGAAAGTATATAACTACTTTATTGAAGAGATGAAATTCAGTTAAAAATAACTTACATTTTTTAACAGAAAGAATATAATTTATATATTATTATTATTTATAAATCTCACACACAATTTACAAGTTAACATTGAGAACTACAAATTATCTAAAACTTTACAATTTAACTACTATTTGTTAATTAAATATGAACATGTTTTTTAAACTAGCTCTAAATTTTAAGAACATAATCAAAATTAATATTTTTTCTAAGATATTTATTTGTAATTTTATGAATTATTTTTATAATTTTTAAATTTTTTTATAATTTTTTAAATTAATTAACTGATAAATTTAACTTGTTTTTTAACGACAATACTTGATACATCATTTCTAAATATTGAAAGAAAAACTACAAAAATTTGAAATATTAAATATTTTTAAATAAATAATTGAGGGTTAAAAATATCTCAAACCCCTGGGCCTCATTTGAAATTTTGTGACAGTTATACCCTCAACAAAATTTTATAATATCTATTTTACCCTCATAATTCATAAACCTAAAGGCTAAAGCTAGCCGCCGGGAGGAACAACTTGTGGGGAAGACATATGCGACGGAGGAGTTGTAACTGGCGGCATCTGTGACCGACGAAAGTCACTTGAACAACGTGTCGATGGAAGGTGAATGTTTCTTGTCAAAGTTTTGTTCGAAATCTCATCTTTTGTTTGCCCTCTTGTTTTCAGTATCATTTACCTTTTGTATGTAATTTTGGTTAAGTTCACCTCTTTTAGGAATTGCTGATAACCATAAACTGTTTACGGAGGGAGCATTCGGAATACGTTATTGTTTCATCTTTTCATATGCAATGCAATGCAAAGAAAATAAGAGTATACTTCTTTTATTGTGTCGTTTGAATGTCCAAACACTTGATGGATCTGCATGTACTTAGGATCTAAACTGGACATGTATCCTTGTGGTTGTAGATTTGCATTTTGTTTGCACCATCAACCACTACCTTAATTTCATCCACAAATCTGATTTAGAAGTTCTGGGATAAAATCTGAGTCTAATGTCTCTTTTTCGGGTGTGCTATAAATCTGAAGTCTGTGTTGTGTTCCTTAATCTGATCTTTATTTTATTATCGTCATTAGTCATATGTTTGCATGCTATGATTCTGATTCTTATTCTGATATATTTAAATGTGATTTTAACACCCGCATATTTGAACAGGTGAGAAACGATTGAGATTATAATAAATCCGACAGTGTGTGCGTAAGTATTAAGTGCTCCAATATCAAACTAAACACAGTAAAACTCAGAATAGCTTTTTGCCAAGTTGATGACTTGCATAGCAGGTTAACATTAGAGTTGTTTACAAATATATAACAGCATCTCCCTTCTGCCTATTGTCACTCTCCATACATTAAACATTAAGAGCAATATAACATGAAGAATACTCCATACATTACAAAGTTGTTTACAAATACGTAACACCACCTTTTATGATGCTTTGACAAAAAGTCCACGCCACCAAAATCAGTCTTCACATCACACATACCAATATCACAAACATGGCTATACCTAAAGCCAACGTCTTCATTGCAAATACTGTTGATTTAAATCAAAACAACTTTGTGGCAAAAAAAAAAAATCACAACAATTTAGCTGAGTAACTAAATCAGATTTGGTAGCCACAGATTCAGTTTTGATGCTTGTAATTTCTGATTTGGTGGCTGTAAGTTTATCTTTGGTCCTTGGTGACTCTGATTTGGTAGCCATAATACTTGGCAATTTCATATGCACCTTGCACCGGTCTCCACACTAGAGGAACCCATCAGGTTTTGCAAATGTTAGCCCAAGCACAACCAGAACCCATAGCATTTATGTCTATCTTTTTAAAACCCAAAAATTTTGAACATTATGGCAGTATGATCCAAGCATCGAATGTATTATGCATAGCAGAACCAATGAAGGGGAAGATGTTCAAAGGGCTACGGGCACGCTGTTCTGTTATAATCACTGCTGATTTAAGTGTTGTAATATAAATAAACTATCCAAATAGTTTCATAATCACACAGGACCCAGGAATCCTTTAATCAATGACACAAGCTCGTACTCCACTACTATCTCTTTTTATTCTCTTTTTCCCCCCTTCAAAGCAAAACATCCACTAAGACAATAACTGAAGACCTCATTATTTATTAACTTTCCCTTCAAACAGAACAGTTTTCAAACAAACCAGTCAAACTAAACTAATTAACTAAAAGATGAGATTTATTCCCCAAACCCAGAGATTCGAATCAGTATAATATGAGGGAGCTAGAAAAGGACTAATGATACATTTAACCTACAATGAGCAAAGATCATATTACTAATATTAGAAGCTTTTTATGACTTTTTCTGCGGCAAAAATCCTAACCAAACAAAAAAAAAAAATCTTCAAATCATCATCTTTAGTCTGAGTTGTTCTTTTATCCGAGACCTTGACTTTGTTGTTAATGTGTAAATTCGTTTTAATACAAATAAAAGAAGAGAGCGGCTGCTACTGTGATGTGAGTGTGAATGTCACAAGGTTTCTAAATATGTGCTTTAAAGATTGTTGGCTTATCAGTAATTAGTGCAGAGTGTAGAGTGAAGAATACTCTAACCCCCAACTTGGATGGGGAGAAAAATAGTAAGGAAGGAAAATTAGGAGGAAAAAATCCTTAAAAATAGTTAAAAAAAAAAAAAGGAAGTGTCGTAGCTCTTTTATTTTTAGATTTGTGCTGTATGTGGAAGTTCTCACAATTGTACTATGCATTATATGCAGCTTATTTTCACTCCAATGACAAAGAAGAGTTCTAAAAAATCCTCAAGACAAGCACAAGAGACTACTGTTGCAGAAGAGCAAAAGCCATCTCCAGCACATAAAAAACAAGGTAGTGAGATTGACGAGATATTTGCAGGGAAAAAACGGAAGAAATCTGAAGCCAAAAAAACAGAAACATCTGAATATGTAGCTAAGAAACCCGAGAAATCAAAGAAGAATGTGAAGAAGAAAAGCAAAGGGTCAGCAGGTGCTGGAGATTTTGCAGACCCACCTTCTGGACCTAGAAAAACAACAGAGGATGGGCTTGCCATCTACACTGAAGAGGAGTTGGGTATCAACAAAGCAGAAGCTGGAACTACCCCACTCTGTCCATTTGATTGCTCCTGTTGCTTCTGATGACAGCAATCAATTTTTTCCTCTGATATACATTTTTGGATCAATACACCTGGACCTTGCCAGTCTGGCACACAGCAATCAACTTTTATGCTTGAATAAGGTTTCAATGTGATTCATAGATATACTATAGTTTATTTTTTGCGATTGAAATTAAGTAGCTTATTGATTATTAGCAAAACCAAAAAAAACAAAAAAACAAAAAAAAATCTAGGTGCTTCAATCCCGCGACAGTGTGTATCTGTTGTATTTCCGTATTTTGCATTACTATGTCATTATACCATTCCAGGCAGTTTCATGTGCTTCTGCATCTCTTTTGTGACTGCAAACATATTTGCTTGATGAAACTACAATCTGTACTTGCCGTGATACCACCTTTCCCATTCCCCTAGCCATTGCAAACCCTAGCCCACTGTGATAAACAATTGTCATATAGCTAAAACCCTACGTGATAAATAATAATGGTCTTGAGAAGAGCTTTGCTAATAGCCACAAGATTCTACTGAGACCTTCACCTTACCATTCTTTCTCTGCCTTGTGCCTTTGTATGCTTAGTTATTGAAATTTGAAACACCAAGCAGACAAGACTTCCGATGTACTAAAACTCAAACTTGACATCATGCATGGATTTTAGTTTTAATTAAGTTTATTATTATATTTACTTATTTATGATCGCCTAATTAATTCATTGTCACAATGAAACTTAAATTCACACACGCAACCTCAATAGCCATTATCATGAGTATGCTGACATTGCTATCTTATTGGATTGCTGCCACTGTTATTTGCTTTATATAATCTTGTATAACTCTCAAACAAATTTATGATAATATGACATGATACTAATATGTATGATTCAAATCACTGTTATTTGTTTTATATAATCTTGTATGATTTATAATAAGTTTATTGAGAAAAAAAGTAGAAAATTTAAAGACTTGTAATTTTGTTGTAGGAATAGTATATTAAATGTACAAGATAAAGAAAAGTAGACAAGATTTTACCTGCTCTATATGAACAAGTGAGAAATGATTGAGCACGCTAAGAAAAGAACAACTTGAAGACCTTGCTAAATCAGAGGGTAGCTATAAATTGAATGAACCTCAGTTACAAGATCTATTGAATATAAAGAAAAAAAACTGGTGTGACATTAACCAAAAGAGGTTCCCAACAAGAGTACTGAACATATTAAGAGTCGAAAGATAATCAAGCTGTCCAGATCCTTGATCTCTGAGTTCAGTAAATATCATTCACACACTGCGCGGGAAGTTTTGGCAACTTTGGAGCCAGATGATACAGTCAGCGTCCGATGATAGTGACGCATATATCAATGGCATTATAGAAGTAAAATCAACCGTAGGCATGCCGCATTACCATTTTTCTTCAAGAATGTTAATGGGAATAAAAACCAATGAAAAGAAAATATGAAATGAAGAAATTGCTTTTAGATCTGGTACAGAAGGATACACGCTCACCTATAGCCAAGCCCGGTATTTTAGTATTAGCCTGAAAATAATTTCAACACAGATATTAGTATACAGAATATTATGACAGAAGCCAATGACCTCGTAATATAATGGCATGTAAGCTTCCTTGTAAGTGGGAGATAACAAGTTCAATCTCACTTATAATCTCAAGTTGTTAGTGTCTGCCCCTCTAATTCAAAAAGAATATTATGATAGAACAGCTTACAAAACTAATCATTTTTCCAATCCATGTGGCATACCTCATTGAACTCTATTGTATATATCATCCAACTTAAGAATCAGGATATACAGTTTGCACAATGAAATAAATGAAGTAAATGATCAAACCTGAAAGTTCAAAACTGTCTTGGCCATAATTTGAAGATGGAGTTTACCTATACTAGATACTGTGATCGCTGAGGTGGTAGAAAAATGTGTCAGATACCTAGCTATAATTATGATTTAATATTTCTAAATTAGACAGTTTCATAATAATTAAAGCTGTAGGCTATTGACATTCCAGGCATATAGCAAGGATGATTATCTGCATTTAAGAGCCAAACCTGCTTAAGTGCTACAAGGAAATAAAGAATTTAATTTCCAAACTCTATTTTACCTTCATATAGCTTTATATACATTGATGCGTTTAATTCTTCATCTTAACTCTTGCACATGATTTAGTGCTTTCTCCTTTCTCTTTCATCATTTCATACTGTTGTTGCACTTGCTATAGAAGAAAGGCTCAAGTCCAAGTCTAAAACAGTTTTTTGATCCATTTTTGTGAGACACTTGTCAATTTTGCAGGTGTCATATCCATGTAATGTAATTTCGAGAATTGTAGTCCATTTACAATATTCTGATTCTCATACAGCTTACAGCTTAGCAAAAATGGTCAATGTAACCAAAGATGATATTCAACAGTTTGTTGGCAATTTAACATTTTACAAAGGAAGCATACAGGTACGCTACCTCACCATTATCCATGAAGTTCTAACAGAACACACCGTTTCTTCAAAAAAAATAGCATTTTGTTTAAACATGTCCAACACGGACATAAAAAGTAAAACAACCTGTGAGCACTACAAATCCCGTTATGACAGCATGAATAACTAGAACCAACAACGTTGAAATGCTCGAAAGTCATCAAATGTTCAACATAAGCACATCATTTTGGTATGCCTTTTAAACCCATGGTAAACATTGACAGAAAATAGTTTCATTTTGAGGCAATTGCCTAAAATTTTTAACAAAGTCACCTTTGCGCCATTGGATCCCCAACAAAAGAAGCCAATTAAATGAAAGATAAGAATAAAGAACAGGGGAGCAAATAAGAAAATAAAATGGGATCTAACATATAGAAGGGAAAAGCAAGCTTGAAATATATCTGTGAAGACCATTCATTATTGTGTTGATGCATTTATACACTTCGAAAAGATCAAAGAGTTTCGTATCCTCCAAAATGCTGGACAGAATCTCAGAAAAGGGCATTATTTGCAATATTCAGTAACAAGCAGATTCTTGACTAAAGAACTAAGTTTAATGTTGCCGAGCCTTCTCCAATCAGCATGTAAGAGATATCCAACCTTTACTCTGCTAACATGAGATCACAAAGTACTCACATGACTCTTTCCACCTCCTGGTCGTATCACCTTCTAAATGAGGATTGCTCAGTGACAGTATGCCAAAACGATTCCAAAATTTTTTTAGGGCATGCTATAAATGAGAATAAATACATCCAAGAACAAATGATTTGCCAAGATAGGGTGGCAAATAGTGCACTTCCAAAGAAGCAACTGATTGGCATTATGTCAAGATACTAGTACAAGGACATACTCCGAGGCAGCTTCTGGAATTAACGTAAATGCCATGCTTCTAGCAAATTTTTTTTTATCCTATCACAAGAAGAAACCTCCTTACTCCTTTCCAATCAAGTCATCCTTACAGTTAGCACAAGCTCAGCAAGGAATTTCACCGTATTATTTCCCTCGCAAATTTGTACTCTTGCGTTTCTCACCAAGTGCATAACGTCTTGCCAAAGCAGGATTGTAGAATTTTCTCATATGATCTGACAGCCTATGTATGAATTGGAGATCACCAATTATAGAAAGATGCGTCAAAATACTACCAAACTTTCTAAATGGCAATTTTATTCCCTTGTTTATAACTTCTTCCAAGAGAAAACGTGCATCTTCCACCCCATCGTACCTAAACAACGCATCAATCATCACAAAGTCTGTATCTGGTGCACAACCCCTCTCGGTCATGCCAAGTCTCAAATGCCCCATCTAGATCACCCATCTTAAAAAACATTGAAGTCAGCATATTATAAGTCTGGACACTGGGAAGACAACCCAAATCAATCATGTTTCCATAAAGTCTAAGTGCTTCATCGGACTTCTTATTGTCACAAAGGACCTTAAGAAAACAATTATAAGTTACTATATCAGGTGGATAACCTTGTTTTCCATCTCCTCCAAAAATCTGTATGCTAAATCTTTCTTTCCAAACAAACTCATTCCTTCAATTATATCCTTGTATGTTGAGACTTCAGGAGGCAACCACTACTAATCTTACACTCCAGAAGTTTAAAGCAATCCTCTACTCTATCATTTTGGACAAGAGCAACAATAATGATTGCATATGTCATGGCAGCGGGAGAAGATATGGAAAAACCTTTTGTTCTTATGAACTTAAAAAGTTCTAAGGTCTCATTAGCATGCCTTCTCTGCAAAAGGTATCAATGGCAGTATTGTATGTAAAATTGCCAGGCGTATGACCAAACTGGATCATGTCTTTCGGCACTTTCATTCCTCTAGTTGGGTTTCTAACTCTGCACCACCCAAAAAACAATATGTTATATGTCTATGCATTAGGCCTAATTTTGCTTTGCACTTTCTTAAAGAGACCTTCAGCTTCCTCGACCAGGCTACACTTGCAAAGATCATCCAATAGCAGGTTAAATGCATTTATTTTGGGCTGAGTTTTTACTCTTATCCTCTTCTTCTTTTCAAACTTTTGCACATGAGTTAGATATTTTTCAGTGTATTTTCTCAAAATAGTCAAAAGAACTTCAACCAGAATCGTGTTCTTGTTATGCCTCTTCACATAGTCCAACATATCACAAACTAATCGAAACTGTCTTACTTTGTATCTTGTACTAGCTAGTATATCTATCATATCATTATAAGCACAAAACTCATGGGAATAATTCTCTTGATGGCCAGCCCATGTGAAAAATCTAAATGCTATCTTTTCCTCAAAATGAAGCCTCTTCAGGACCCCAGTAACCAAAGGAGTTGACAATTGTATTCCAAGTTGGTCAAGAGCTTTCTCCATAGTGGTATGTCCAGTGGTTTTATCCATTATTGTGTTGTATATCTTTTCTACATTACTTCTAAGTGGTAGTCCTCAACATTACTAGGACTAGAATCAAGGTTCTGATTCGTAGGAACAGCTTCTGAACAATACAAGTATATAGAAATACCATATGTAACAAACAAAGTCATGGGCAATGAAGATTGAATGAAGCGCACACAGGAACAGGAAGCCACTTGTACTGGTATTCGGTGATGAGTATCTAGAGAAGTACATGGTTGGTGATTGAAGTGAAGTTACATTGTGGGATGGACCTTCTCTTCTGAAAGGTATAATCGGAAGCACGTGATGAGAAAAAAAAATGGAATTTTAAGGAATAGATGAACCTATCAAATCTCCCCATCTTCTTGCAAGATGATATCAAAGGCACGGAACTCTTGAACGAAGAATAAAACTCAGGCAATTCAGGAATTAAAAAAATATGAGGAATTTTTGGTGGTAAAGGAAGAAGGTGGTCGAGTTTCGTGTGCTGCTCACTGCTCAGAAAGAAAAGTAGAGGAAGTAATTCACTGTAATGGACGTAGCAACTTCGAACAATCAGATTCCGAACCCAATCTACCTAGCTTTGCTTGGTTTTGGTCAGGAAGAGAAGTGATCCTGTGAAAACCAGTAAATCCGGGTTATAGGCTATAACCAAGACATCTTAACCCGACCCGTAAAATAGGGCGACAGAGACCATCTTCCGTCTTCCCTGGCCTTGTTCGACCCGACTCAATTTGGGCCGGAATATTCGGACAGGACCGAAAGCCTAAATTTTAGAGCTTTCTATGGTTTTTACAAATTAAAAACAAATAAATTTGGAGTGAGCCCAGCAAGGAAACCTAGACCAAGAAAGCTGCTCCCACGGTCCCGCCTCAAATTTCCTTCAGGCAAACAAAACTTTAGATTTCACATTTTAGTTTCAGAAGCTGCGAAGCACGAGAGGAGCATGAAGGGAGCAGAACAGGTGCAAGAAGGGGGGAAAACCATGAATTTTCGGATTGGATCAAATAAAAAAAAAGAAAGAAAGAAAAATTAAAGTAGAAGGAAGCACACATGGAAATGGGGTCTTCAGATCGGATATTGAAGGCCATGAAGGAATGACAACCACCAGAACGACATTGAGAGGCGTGAACGGCGACAAGAACGATGCTGAAGAACGACAAGGAACTGAGGTCTGAACTCGAGGCTAAGAGGCGTGAGGCATGGGCTGAAGAGAACGAGGAGGTCACGAGGATTAGCGTGGTGGCTAGGGAGAACAGCGTCGAAGTAGGAGCCTCCTATAGAGAAGAGGATTTTTTTTCCATCCTTTTTCCCTCTTATTTTTAATTTTTTATAGAAAATAACAATTATAAACTCTTAAAATTATTAATTATAATTAAAAATTTTAAGTTATTAAAATCTCAATAATAAATCATAATTCTTATTTAAAATTAAAAAACGTAAATAGTTTAAAATATTTTTCAGAAATAATTTTAATAAATTTTTAAAAAAAGCATAACTTTAAATTTTTACATTTTATTTATTTTTTATTATAAATTTTATTTTTTTTAAATATTTTAAATTTATATATTTTTATTTTTTAATATTATAAACCTCTTCCTGATTCTTACACTGTATTTATAAAAAAACTTAAAACATTAAAAAAAAAAATGGAACAACCCAAATCTTGAGATGGACGCATTGTGCATAGAGGATGGGAAGTGGTGAGCTCCTAAAAAGCCTCTATGCCCGGTGCACGCCATACACAACGATGACTCCATACATACAGTGAACCAGCTTAGTAGCCGAAGCTGATCCTTGCAACCCAGGAGAAGGATTTTGCTTCAACCCGCCAATCACTGCCCACATCTTACTCTATATATCGTATATTGTCATCTTACAGGCTTCAAGGGAAGTACAGACCAAAAGCGATGCTTCTGCAGCGGAGGAATTTTGGGATAAATTGGCGGTGGCTAAGCCGGACCAGCGGTTAGTTAGAAGAGAGGCATCTTAATAATAAAATGCGGATAAAGTGTGGAGACTCTTATATTTTTAAAAAATTTTAAATGATTAATATATATTTACAAGTATCTTTGAAAAATTGTAAAAGTAAATTTTAATTTTATATTAAAAAATAATCCATTCTCTATTATTGTTCTTGATTTCTCAATTGAGATTAATAATATTTTTATCTTATGATAATAATTTTATCAGTGTCATTTCTTTTTTTTTAAGTGGAGGAAAATTTTGTAATTTTATGTATGTTTTTAATTTCAAGTAAAAACTATGGTCCATTATTGATATTTTAATAATTTAAGATTTTTAATAGTAATTAATAACCTTAGTGAGTCCTTAATTTTCAGTTTTCCATTTTTTATTAAATCAAGATTATTGTATAATCTAAATTTGATTTCTTATAAAATATTTTATTTTATTTTATTTTCCGTGTGTATTTTAATTTTTAATGTTAAATTTTAACAATTTGAATTTTATTTTTATATTATTTATTATTTAAGATTTTAGTAATAATTTTATAAAAAATTAAATCTAAATTGTTTAAATTTTGATTTGATGATTAAAAATTAAAAAGAAAGAAAGAAAGAAAGAATGAGGATGGAAGGGAAGATGGGAGAATTTTCTCCCTTTTAATGAGGGATATGAATCCTACTAAACGTGGTCTAAAAATGAGATAATCCTCACCATGCATATTATCTAATGGTTGGAAAGAGCGGAACCTTTTAATTAAAAATACGGATCTCGTGAAGTGAAAATAGTGTAATGGTTTGAAAGTAGGGTAATTCTCATCATGTATTTTATCTAATGATTGTGAAAAGATATATTTATGAATATTGACCATATATATTTAATTTTAATAATTTAATTTAATATAATTTTTTATTTTTTATAAATTGATTATGTATGTATACTCTAAACAATCTATGTTTAATATTAATTTTTTATCATTTTTATTTTAATAAATAAAATATTAAAAATAATGATAATACCTCTAATGAGTAGGCGCAAAAGAAAGGTAAAAGCAAAAATGAGACGAAAGAAGGAGGGAGGTTTCAATTGATATTTTTAAAATCAGGATTAATATTGAATTAAAAAAGTCAGTGGTTTACGGTTCTCATGATCTAATTGGGTTGGACCAATGATCCAATCAATGATGTAATAATTAAAAAAAATATATATATATATATATATAATAATTTAAATATAAGAAATAAATATGAAATTGCTATTTGAATTAAACATAAAATTAAATATTTTAAGTTTATCATGATTTAACAAGCCACATAATATAACACAACATTAAATGATTAAAAAATTAGTCATTTCTTAAAAAAATTTTAAAAAAAGAAAAAGGGCACTCTTTGAACAGTCTAGTTTTTAAAAATCAAACCTGATTCCCAACTTAATCATGATTCCCAATTCAATCATTGATCCAAAGCAGCCCAACCTGGTCCAACTTTTCAAACGATTTTTTTGACTTAACCGAGTTATTAACCCGACCATTTGACAATCCGACTGTTTAATTTGATTTAAATTTTTAATCATTGGTTTCAATTCATATTTTTAGAGGGGTGAAAGGGTAAAATATTTTGAAATTGTTTTGAAAAAAGAACACTGATATCTTTATTTTTTTTTTAGTTGAAATAATTTTATTTGCGAATTAAAAGAATAATAATTTTGCCCACCATTAGTTCAAGCTCACGTTGACCGTTAAAAAAAAAATATATGTGGCCCCACGGGGATGACATGTCAGACCCAACTCGCACAGCTGTTAATCTTCTTATTCTCCACGTTTCTTTTTTGTTTCTCTGAATTGAATGATGCCTGAGGGAGCGATCTGGGAAGCGGAGGGAATCATGGTGGAGTCGACCTTGGATCTAAAATTCTTGACAAGAGGAACAACCGAACAAGGTCGTCGTTCTTCCGAGCTTCCTCCTTCTGCTCGATGGTGTAGGCGACCCGCCTGGAGGCTCGGAGGGAGCGAATGAGATTCTTGTAGGTGACGAAGAGGAGATTCCGCTCCTCGACGGTGAGCTTGGAGAAAGGAGTTGAAGACAGAACAACCTTCAGTATGAAAGTGACCATCTCCTCGTATCTCTTGACCTGCTCGATTAACTTAGTCAGGTACACACATTGATCTCTGGTTAGGTTTTCCGGGAGCGCAAACACCATTTTCCTGCTTGTTCGAGAGAGAAAGGATGCAAATCCGTGTGCAGAGAGAGTGGAGTGAGAATCTTTGAAGGTGTGGTTCGGGATGGGTATTGGGCATCTTCTTTATTTGATGACCTCTTTCTTCTACCTTTTAAATCCAATCCAAGGATGGTTGATTCACGAGTTCATAATTTCGATTGAATCAACGAAATTATAATTATATAAATGATAACCAAGATTCGAGAGTGTGCAACTGACTGGTAAGGTGTGGGTGCCCAAAATGCATCACCAGGATCTACCAAACAGAAAGGCAGTGACTTCTTTGTGCTCTGGTTGCTCCGCCGCTCATGACTATACGATCAAGGTCGAATGCGACTCTGTTTCCTCTTGCTCTTGCCATGAATTTAGCCACAGCATGTGCATATATTTGTTTCCTTGTTTAGTTTGCTGATAATCAGAATCGATTTGTTTCGTATTTATTTTCCTGATTAATCAAACACTGAATTGATAGGCACTCGCATTTCTGAACTCTGGCAAACCATGATAGTCCTAAAAGTTAGATATGACCTGAAATCTCGTTTTCATAAGCCTTTCGTCTATCAAAGTATGGAGAGTGTTCACCGTGTCCATCGCTGGTCACAATCTTCAACGACATTGTATATTGTGTTAACTTTAGTATCTCAATTCATACAAGTTAAATAAATTTTAAACAAAGTAATATGTATATCTGAAGAATGTATGACCGATTGTGATAACCCGATTATCTCGAGTATAGACAAATGCATAACCCACTGAACCCCATAGTTTACAGAGAATTTAAAGATAATGAAGTAAGTGAAAACTATCATGTGTTTTAGTTATTAACTCATCGGCTTATATAGACCAGATCAGTAACCGCTATAATAAATAAATAAATAAATTATATTTCATTATCTTTGACTCAGTCAGTTAAAAGATAAGAAATAACTGACAGCTATAGAGTTGTAGGTTGAGCCTCTGCCCATTAAGCTTACTTATGTAGTCCACCTATTATAGTCCACACAAGATTATAAAGATCAATTTGTTTGGCTTATTAATTAATGTAAATCCATAAATAAATATTTCAACAATCTCTCACTTGGATTGCATTAATTAAGCAAGTTGTATAAATAAGTCACAAATAAAATTTAAAAAATGAAACTTCACAAAATCACTGAATCATATGGGAAAACAAGTGATATAATGTCTCATAATCTGAATTGAACAAAATATGAATTTTTTTATTCCAAACACAGTTTAGTAAGATAACAACATAAGATCACTGATTCTTATAAGGAAACAAGTGACATGTATAGCGTACTACAATAAAATCATTGAATTCTATGGAGATACAAATGATATAGGTGCATCTAACTTAACTAAACATAAAATGGGTCTTCTAACCACAATTCAGTAAAGATATGACACAAAAATAGTAAATCCTATAAGAAAATAAGTGACATAAGGTGCATTAACACAAATCATTGAATTTTATAGGGAAATAAATGATATAAAGCATGTAACATCTCTTAACCTAGATTGAAACTCAATAGAGAAATAATATAAGATCACTGAATCTTAGGAGGAAACAAGTGATAGAAAATGCATAAACATGAATCATTAAATCTTATGAGAATATAAATGATATAGAACATTTCATTATTTCTAAAACCAAAAAATTGAGCATAATAGCAAAATGGTTCTAAAATATCAAATGTTCTTAAAAGGATACAACTCAAACTTCCACTGAACCAAAGCTATCTCAAAATATCAATAAAACCTATATGGGTAAGCCTTTAGTCATACAAATGCTTAAAAATACATTCACCATAGAAGTGAACCAGATAAGTCTAAGTGTTTATAATTTTCTCAAACAAAATCTTTGATAGAAGTTCAAGGTAGACAAAATATCGCATTCATAGTTGGAGGAAACAACAAAATACATGTCTAATAATAACAGAGAGGAGCTGTCTTGTAAAAAATGAGTATGTTATAGACACTTGTAGCTACCTCATTTTAGAATATGGAATATATATCGCTTGTTGTAAAAGAATATCAAATTTTTAATAACCAACATTAGGTGTCACATGTAACGTTCTCACTTCACTAAACACAATTAACAAAAGAAACTCATGGTAATAAAAGGATTAGCTCAAAAAATGATCATCAAGTTTTAATCCAAAAGTAGGGGATCCTAAGCTTTTTAAATAGAAACAAGTTAAAATCAATCAAAATCTTTCATATCAGAATAAAAATAAGTTTCGAAAGCATGAGATACCTCAGAAGAGTAAAAGAAGTCGAAAATGGTTGAAAAACAAAACATATGATGTGATTCAGAGCAATGCACTGCGACTCATGCACGCTGCACCACAGCGTGTTGCTCTCTATGCCACACGCCGTAGTTCAGGCGCCATGCACCGGGGCGTGTTGCATGAATTTTCACTGGTTCTATTGTCATTTGACAGCAGAATTGGGGAACTTCTGACTTGCCTCGATTCTCTGTCCGACATCCAAATGATGTGATCTAGGTGTTTACAAAAAACTCTTTACATGAACTAGTTAATGGCCTAGGTTTTACTTCCAAAAATAGTCACACTAGGAAGTTAGACACCCAAATATATTTTAACCACTTTTCAATACTTTTATACAAAATGGGTATCCAAAACCCTTAACAAGTGCCAAAAACTTTTCCTAACACCTGGACCATGTCCAATGGACTTAGAACTATCAGTACAACACGTCATAAGCATTGAAACATCATCATAACTAAAATTCACTCCTTAACTTTAATTTACCAAAAAATAAAAAGGGAGGTAAATTAGCATTGCATTTCGCTCAAATCATTCAAAACATACTCAAATCTTCATTTCTACACTTGCACTAGTATTTAGCCCTATCAACATATAAATATCAACATACACAAAGGCTAAGGGCCCAAAATACAATTCTAACATTTTCAACAACCAAAATAGTGCAAGTGAGCTAATATGCATCCTAGAATTAGCAAGCCATATACTATTACACAATTAAAGTAGGAATATGCTAATTCCCTGCCTCTTTAGTCTTCTCCCTCTCAATACCAGAGCTAGAGCCTGAAAAGTATTAAATAAAAGGGATGAGTCTAGCCACTCAGTAACTAAGGTTGACCCTACCCTATGCAGTTACATATCAATTATAAAACAAATACATGCATAAGGAGATCAAATATGTAAAACAAGTCCACATATATCACAATTTATCATTTATCACTCTATAGTTTCTTTACTCACATAACTAAGTGCATTATCACCATATTCTTAGATATGTGACATTACCCATACTCTTGCGACCTGCAATTACTTAGCACATGCGACACGTCATATATTTACTTAGGCAATGATTATCCAACCTTATATCTTTCTTATTTTCTCAGATTGAAACCGTAGGCTATAACACTGATTAGAAGTCTGTCTGTGTGATTGGACTATCCAAGCTCACCAATCGTGAGATGTGACCAATCAAAGATCACAGGACTCACTCTCGAACCACAGTTTTTCCCATTCTTGAATCCCTAAGGTGTCTCATACCTTAGGCTATTCTCCTCATTGAACTGGTGGAGATAGTTAGGTTCTAGTCCCTCAACAAACAGTGAGACAAGGCTATAGCCCCTGTACACTGAAGGGCAGCCTAATTACTATATGGATTTTCTCTACTCTCAAATTCCTAGGCGAACTCCTGCCACTGATCATGCCATAATTATTACTCACTGGAGTTTACTTTTTCGCTTCATTTACTCACTATTGCAACAAAACCACGCTAGACTCACAATCTTGCACTACCCAAGTATGTATTCTCATCATTTCTCAAAATTCATTTCCTTACTAACACACAAATATCTCTACTCATCATCGCATTCATTTTCAAAATATAAGCATTTTCATAATAAAATTCTTTTGACTTTGCATTTTGCATTTCAAGCCCAAATAGCATTGTGCTCAATAAATTTTCATACACATTGAAAATAATATATAGTTTTACATAAAAATCAATCTCATGCTTTGTAACATTCACCATTCACATTCAACATCAATTAACAATTAATTAACATACAACTACCCAAAGCAGAGTTTTTTTCGGTTACTTCAAACCTTTAAAGGTCAAAGGTTTACCCTTCAATCAATTTTCAAGTTTGAATTTTCATTCAATAGGTGACCAAGAGCTAAAACTACAATCAATTAAATTGAATTCCATCAACATAACAAACTCAAATAATTGAACCCTCAATTTCTACTTCTAAATTGTCCAACCTTCACTTTACAAGAGGTGGAGCCTAACCATTGGGTTTAATCAGTGGCGGAGCCAGGACCCTGTGTCAAGGGGTATAAATTAATCTTAAAAATAATAATCTAAAATAATTATTTAATATTTTTTAAAATAATCATACATTTTATAATTGTCCCCTACTTATTGTCAAGTGCTATTAAAAATATTTTCTTTCATATAAGTCACTAATTTATGATATTATTTATATATAAAAATATAGAAAAAAATTAATTTTTAGTTTCTTCAATTTTTAATTCACTTTTAACTCAGTCTCTCAACTTGACTCGCTGTGACTTAGTTCCTCAACTATGACTGGCCTATGATTCAGTCCTTCAACTTTTGAATCACTTACAAATTAGTCCCTTAACTTTTGAATCACTTACAATATCTCATATCAATGAGCAAGAGAAGGATATTTTAAAAATATATAAGTATTTTTTATCCCTCTTATTTGATAAGAAATTTTTAAAAAAAAATTAAAAAATAAGGATCGAGTTATAGATGAATCAAAAGCTGAGAGACTGAGTCGCAGCGAGTTATAGTTGAGGGACTGAGTCGCAATGAGTCATAGTTGAGAGATTGAGTTACAAGTGAGTTAAAAATTTAAAGATTAAAAAATTAATTTTTCCTTAAAATATATAATAATTAACTAGAGATTTAAAAAATTAAATAAATAAGAATATTCTTTTCTAAAAATCACA